GCTCCATTCATACATGTATTTTCTTCTGCCTCTGCCAGGAGTTTGAGGTTGCTGTGAGCTAGGCTGATGCCACAGCACTCTAGCCCAGGCAACAGAGCAAGACTCTGTCCTAAAAAAAAAAAAAAAATTACGAATGAATAACATTCTATAATAATGAATTGAAATTGTTCAATTTCATAAATAAATAATAGCACAACTGAATACAGTTGACCCTTCAACAACATGGGTGTGAACCACGTGGCTCCATTCATACATGTATTTTCTTCTGCCTCTGCCACCCTTGAGACAGCAAGACCAACTCCTCTTCTTCCTCCTTAGCCTCCTCAACATGAAGACAACAAGGATGAAGACCTTATGATGGTCTACTTCTACTTAACGAATAGTAAATATATTTTCTCTTATGACTCTTTTTATGTTTTCTTTTTTCTAGCTTACTTTATTGTAAGAACACAGTATATAATGTACATAACATACAAAATATGTGTTAATCAACTATTTATGTTATTGATAAGGCTTCTGGTCAAAAGGAGGCTATTAGTAAAGTCTAGAGGCGTCAAAAGCCATATGTGGATTTTCAACTGTCCAGGGGCTTGACACCTCTAATCCCCGAGTTAACCAAGAGCCAATTGTAATATAATTTATTATTGCAAATAAATAATATTATTTAATATCATAAGTGATTCAGATAGGATCATTGACAAAGACTATCATCATTTCCCCAATGAAAATAGAGAAAGGTAAGCAAAATGAGTCACTCGACCCAAGAATTTCATACTAAAAACACGAGACAAATTTCTCACGAAAAAGAAAAACCCCAGAACTCCCCGTTTCCTCATGGCTTTCCACTTTGGCTAGTATGAAGACCTGGTTCCTCCTCAGTGAAGATCCCTTTTCCCTCTCCGCCTCGTCCTCACGGTACCCAGCAGAGTGGTTCTGGACAATAACTGCTACTGGCGAAGAGGAAGAAGAGAATTCTCCCTGTCACGTACCTGATTCACTTCTGTACTGTCAACACGCCAAAGAGTTCCTCTTTGGCCATTATTTCCTCTATCCATTCTCAAAAAAGTTTCCATCCTCACAGCCACCATTGTCAACAAGGTCGAGTTGTCCCCTCTCCGGCCATTTCATGCACTGTTACCAGGCTCACAACCTTTCTGGGTCCCTCACAGTCCTTCCCATGCCTCCCTCAGGCTAAACCCCTTACAGGTTTCAGGATGCCACACAGTCAAGTCCACACTCATTAGCTGGGCCTTAAACATTTCACTGTAGAAAATTTCAAACACGCTCAAAAGCGTGTAGAAGAGTAAAATGAACACCAGGTACTCATCGCTCAGCTTCAAAAATCATCGAGTTTCTGCCATTCTTGTTTTATCTCTCCTTACCCCTCCAACTCGTGCTTTTTTTGTTGTTGTTGTTTTTGCTGGAATGTTTAAAAGCAAATCACCAGCATTTTACCATTTTACCTATAAGTACTTCAGGGTATATCGCTAATCTAACAGAAAAGATCTTTGACATATGATACCATTTTTGCACCCAAAAAACTAATAATTCCTTATCTAATACCCAGCCTATGTCTAATTTTCCCAGATTCTCTCAAAACATTTCTGTAATACAGATGGTTTGTTTGAATTAGGCACACACGTTGATTTTGTTGATACGTCTTTTAAGTCTCTTTAAATCTGTAACAGTTCCCTCTTCCTCCTTTTTTTAATGCCTTATATTTATTGAAGAAATTGGTTCATTTGCCCT